CACTTGGGTTACATTTTGTGGCTATTTGTATTCTACATTGTTATCAGCTATCAGTCAGAATTGCAGAATATGTCAAATATGAGTGGGTCCTAGGCAGTGTTCATAAAATGTTAACCGACCTGTAACTTGTGATTCTTAAAATGAATATGGCTTTAGCCTGACATTCTCTTGTGAGAAAATATTTAGAAATCAAAATCATGCTACTCCCAAGAAGAAAAGTTTTCTCAGATAAGTCAATCTAAATTCATTTTTAGGGGGAAACTCTTCTCTTTTCCTGCAGGGATGCATATACTAACCAGAACACTTGACATTTCAGTTTGTAGCATGTGTTTTAAGATTAAAGGTGACTTCTGTTGGTGGGAATGTAAACTGATACAGCCACTGTGGAGGTTCATACAGCCACTGTATGGAGGTTCCTTAAAAAACTAAAAACAGAATTACCATACGATCCAGCAATCCCACTACTGGGCATATACCCAGAGAAAAACATAATTCAAAAAGATGCATGCACCCCAATGTTCATTGCAGCACTATTTACAATACCCAGGTCATGGAAGCAACCTAAATGCCCACTGACAGACGAATGAATAAAGAAGATGTGGTATATATATACAACGGAATATTACTCAGCCATAAAAAGGAACAAAATTGGGTCATCTGTAGAGACGTGGATGGATCTAGAGACTGTCATACAGAGTGAATAAGTCAGAAAGAGAAAAACAAACATCATATATTAACGCATATATGTGGAACCTAGAAAAATGGTACAGATGAACCGGTTTACAGGGCAGAAATAGAGACACAGATGTAGAAAACAAACATATGGACACCAAGAGGGGAAAGCAGCGGGGTGGGTGGTGGTGGTCTGATGAATTGGGCAATTGGGACTGACATGTACACACTGATGTGTATAAAATTGATGACTAATAAGAACCTGCTGTATTAGAAAATAAATAAAATTTAAAAATAAAAAAAAGATTAAAGGTGATTTAAAAGCTTTTTCTAAGACATGAGTTAGTTATTTTACATTTACGTATCCAGGTGTTCCCTAAATAAAGAAGTTATCATCTCCAAAGGCAAACTAAATGCACCTACTTGCCAACCTTCCTCACAGCCACGATTATTTATTAATTACTATGTGCTAAGCCCCCTGTGGATATTATAGTCTAATTTTTAAATGCATAGAGATATATAATTACAAATAGTGATACGAATATCTTAAGAAAATTATAGAGAGCTTATATTGGGACAGATCCCCTTTTGGGTGGCTGGAAGGCAGGCAGAGAACATCCCTAAGAAACAAAGAATCAAGCTGGGACCAGAACTGTACGCAGAAGTTTAGCTAGGTGGAGGGGGAAACAGCATTGTAGGAAGAGGCAGGACTACATCCAAAGGTTTTGACAGCTGGGGTTAAAAGGAGGGGTGGGATCTGAAAAAAGCCCAACTTCTGGCTCCCATGAGGTGGGTGACAGCACAACACAACCTGTATGGGGCTGGAAGGACACAGTGCCTTGGCAGCCACTTCCAGAATTTGATCTTTATCCTGGGAATTAAAATCACCTGCTTTCGTATAGCTTAACTATCAGGGTCGCGATCACCTACGCCAACATGATTTAATTTTGTTTCAGGAGATTTTCGCTCAGAAACTTCATGTTGTAAATCAGTGAGTAACTTTACTGTTTGCTTTAGGAAATTTCTGCCAACCAGCTTATCCAGAGAAACACTTGACTCATCTCTCCCATCAGGACAAAAGAGGGCTCAGCTGTAGAAACAGCTCACTTATCACACAATTTATTTATGGAGACTTGTGCCAAGACACTCCCCTTGCTGTGTCCACTAACTCTACACCATTACATGGCGGACTGTGTCCCAACCAGTTTGCCTTAAAAGACCCACTATTTAAGCCACCTAAGCACACACCTGAAGCCTGTAAATAGGCTTCTTCAACTCCCCCTTCTGAGACCCCACTGAAACTCTTTCAAGGCAGTGTTGCTCCATACTCAGCAGGGCTAATAAAGTTTTAATTAGCTTTGCTTGACCAACAGCTTTTCTGAAGACCTTCTGCAGAGCTTGTAAAACAGAAAGTGAGAGATAGGATCAGTTTGTGTTTTAATATGGTTGCAGTTTGGTGAGCAGATGGGACAAAGCCCAGAATCAATGTGTGGATGCAGTAAGAAGGCTATAGCTATAGTCCAGAGGAGAGGTGAAAGGAGTTTGGAATTTGGACATGACAATGGAGCTGGGATAAATGGATGGATTGGAGACATGTTTTGGAGGTAAATCCAACAAGGTCTGCTCGTAGGTTGGACACTGGGGGAGAGATGGAGACAGAGATATTAAGCATCAATTATAAATTCTGGTTTGCTGAACTAGATAATGATGTCATTCGCTGAGATGGAAGCATGGACAAAGGAACTTGTTTGAACAGGGGTGTAGAAAATCCTGAGTCAGTTTTGGGCACGCTGAGTTTGAGTGGGACCTGAGTGGAGTTGTCAAGTAAGCATTTGCCCATGTGGGCATGGAGCTCACAAAGGTCTGAGAAAGCAATGGCCAAATACTAAGAAAATATTTATTCTCACCTCCACTGGGGTCCCTATTAAAATTTCTCACTATTTCAAATCAAAATGCCCTCTAGGCCATTGCCCTCCAATTTCAATGGCAAAAAGCAGACAAGAAAATTCCTATCCTCTGGTTTGAGAAAGGGGCCATGACAGTATAATTATTGTCCTCTTAGACCAACCTAGTTCTTGATGTTTCTGTTTGCCAAGTAACTGTGGGATGTCAGACACAGATTGCTAGGATTAGTTCAAGATGACCCTTTTCTCTCTATACATCTACAATAGCAAAGTGAAGAAGTTTAGAGCCTGGGTTCTGGGGTGAGGTGGATTTAGATTTGACCCTGGGGTCTACCACTCAGTAGTCTGATAATCTTGGAGAATTTTCTTACACTATTTGTGTACCAGGTTCCTTGATTGTAAAATGAGGATAATAAAACTCTCACCTTGATCGAGTTTTGTAAGGTGTGTGTAAGACCATGTAAATGTACTAGCTGGCACAGTCCTTGGCATGTCGTATGGACTCAGTAAATGTTAGCTATTGTCACCATCATCCTTGGTTTTCTGCATTAGACGAGGCTCAAACTTGTAGAATTTGCCATGAGAAACACCGCACCTGCAGGACTAACAGGTTAAAGAAACAGGAAACCTATATTATCTTTCTCCTTTTGGCTATAGCACTCCACATACTCCCCCTGTCCCAGGGGCATTTACTTTAATGGTCTGGGTGTCCAATGCTTCATTGGTTCAGTCTAATGGCCCCCCGGAAGTTGAGACTCATAAGTGATTTCTTGTATCATATCTGGTTGGCTGACTTACAGCTCACATTTTACATGACCAAAACCAGGTAAAGCTACTCTTCTTGCAGCCCTCACCCCAGTAATGGCAATTCCTTTCTTATGGTTGCCCAAGCCAAAGGTAAATGAAACTATCCTTCATTTCTCATTTCTTTTTAAATACTCTACTCCGTTAGCCAAGATTCCACCTTTCAGTGCCTCTGGGATGAGACCCGTTTTCACCGCTTCCTTCACTACACCTCTAGCATAAACCACCACAGTCTCTTGTTTGCGCTATTGCAATTGCCCCCATTTGATCTCCACCCTTGCCCATGCACGCCCTATTCTCCAAACAGCAATCAGAGTGATCCTCCGAAAATATAAGCTGAATCATGTCAATACCCTGTTCAGATGCTCCAGTGTGTTTCCATCTAAGTCTCCATCTACATGGTCCAGTGTCCTGACTCCCAGATACGTCCCTGATTCCACCACCCTATCCTGACTACCACTCGCCCCCATCAGTCCCTCCACTCCAGCCACACTTACCTCCACGTTGGCCCCTGGATGGATCACAAGTGTAGCTCCTCAGCCTTTAGCTTACCAAGCCCTCCTCCTGGTACGCCCTTTCCCCAGATACCCACAGGGCTCTCTTTCCACTTCCTTGACCTCCATGCAGAGGTTCCCCTGTCAGCGAGGCCCTGCCTAACCAACTTCTCTCCGACAGCCAAGTCCACCCTCACAGCTACCATATTCCATCCCTTTACTCTCTGTCTTCAAAATACACATTGCCACCTGACTTGTTACATAGTGACTTGATTGTCAGCCCCAAGGATATAGAAAGCTTCACAGGAGCAGAGATTTTGTCTATTTCAGTCACTGGGTATTCCCTACATCCTAGATAACAGTCTGGAACATAGTAGGCCCATTAGCAATACATTTAAAGGGTGAATGAATTACAATTAACCTTTTATCAAAAAATTTTTCTTGACCATTCAGTCAAGTACCTGATTGGGGGTGGTATATCGGAACATTTTAAGGAGAAAGGAGTGGGATGTTCAAAGTACTGGTAGCAGTTGGGTTTTTTTGCCATTGAGCAAGGAACTGTCATCTTTCAAAAAAAAAAGGCCCAACAGGAGCTGAGCTCAGGCTATTGAGTCTCCCATGACCTGCCTTGTAGATGAAGAAAGACTGAACAAGAGGCAAATCCATACTTGGCTATTAACTGTTTTTTCCACCTTATTCCAGGTGTTAACTAAAAAACAGACCACTTCCAACCTACTGTCTCAATTATTTAACTAAAATGCCAACAGAGCCCAAATTACTCTAAAAAGTATTGGTACCAAATGAACTAATTTACAAAACAGAAACAGACTCACAGACTTAGAAAACAAACTTAAGGTTAACAAAGGGGAAATGTAGTAGAAGGGATAAGTTAGGAGGTTGAGATTAACATGTACACATTAACATATATAAAATAGATAATCAACAAGGACCTGCTGTATAGCACAGGGAACTCTACTCAACACTGTAATAACCTATATGGGAAAGAATACGAAAAAGAAAAGATATATGTATATGTATAACTGAATCAAGCTGCTGTACACTGACAACAAACACAACATTGTAAATCAACTCTACTCCAATATAAAATAAAAATTAAAAAAAAGATTTTAACACTTAAAAATATTAAAAAATAAAATAAAATGACTGTGTTACTTACAAAATAAATAAATAAAATGTATTGGTACAATCCAATAAAGGGGGGTGACAGGAAGAGAAAAGCCAAACACGGTGTGCTCACATTGCTTTTTATTTCATTAAACCCAAATTACTGCAAACATCAATTTCAGAACATTTTAGGAAGACGTTAAAACAAAAAGGCAACAAGAAATGCAATACACACACACAAACACCTATCACCAGAGACTGAAGTAATTCAGAGAAAGATTAAAATATTCTTTGACTGATGGAGATATTGAGAAATGACACACCCTAAAATGAGAATATGGAATAAAAGCAAATAGTACACATCTGCTTTTTAAGTCTTCACAATTTAAGTAAGTTAGGGAAGGCATACAAAATGGTTATTGAATATGCTACGTCTAATACTTGAACAATCTGCAATCATGTGCCTTCCAAATCACAGCTCTAATTAGATTCATAATTATACTTTGTTGAACTCTGCACCCACACCTCTGAATTCTGTTTATTTCTTAGTCAAAGAAAATTCTGCTATAAATCTAGGACCAGGATTAGATAGAATTACAATTATCCATTCCCAGGAGAAATGGAGGAGGTGTTTGCCCTGAAAGACCTCTAATTCTCAGATTCTCTGCCCAATATAAATCACTTAATAGTCTACACTGACATTTCAAAGCTTGCGAAAGGGAGTGTTGTATAACCCTGGACTTCATTCTGGTTCTTTCCTACAAGCAGAGAACAAGATAAAAAAAGGGCCCCTCAAGCTTAAAGAGGTACCTAATTAGAGACATATATGCCTAACGTCTACTCCCAATTAATGACACGAATGATTCTGGGAAGTGAATTAGGACTATTGCTTTGCTTAAAAGGACTACACTACAAAGTGTTTGTCTTTTATCCTTATCTCTAATTTAAATAATTTATAATAGATTATGGCTAATTTTAACTTTTGAGAATAAACATTTAGTCTGCATAAAAGATACTTTTTATAAAGTAACCATCTTATATAGTTTCTCTTTTAAAAAACACTTTTGATACACTTCTGATGACCCTAAACATTTGTGCTACAGATGCCACAGCTGCATTTTCAGAGACCAACTCAGGAACCACGGAAATATTAGATATCCTTTTGCTGGCAACACATAAGAGTGCTTATTCAGTCAATTCAAAGTTGTGCTAAACTACTGGTTCTCAGATTTTAACCTGCCTCAGAATCACGTGGAAGGCTCCTTAAAATTCAGAATACCCAGACCACCCCCAGAGTTTCTGATTCAGTAGGTCTGGCATGGGGCTGAGAACCTGCATTTCTAACATGTTTCCAGGTGCTGCTGGTGTAGGGATCACACTGTAAGAACCACTGCTTTAACCCACTAATTTCGATGTTCTTTCAAGAGAAATGAAAGCTTAGAATCCAGAGCCCACGTAGTACTCACTAAACTCTCTCCCAGGCTCTGCCACAGGGATCATCCGTGAGAAAATCCTTTATTGCAGCAGTAGCACCCAGGCAGCTAAAGAGTCCTTAACACTACTTGCTTAGCATTTTGGTTTTGCTGGGCAAGGATGTGGCATGTTTCCTATTTCTCACCAGAAGGGCTGCAATCTCCTATGTGCCCCCAGATGCCCTGGATCTGTAACCCTCCAGGGCAGGACCTGTGCCTCTGGGGGATCAAAAACCATAGCTACATGTCCCTACCCAGAAGGTCTATCTCATCCAGGAGGAAGTCCATGTCCTCCCGTCTGACTTGAGGGCTGATCAGCACCTGCCGGAAGAAGTTGACCTTCCCCCGGTGGGGCTGGTAGCCCAGCATGAGGCTCCCCTTCTTCATCATCCGCTCCTTAATGGCCGGGGCCACCTGCATGGGAGAGGAGGGAGGCGGTGAAAGACCAGAACACTGAGGCATCATGACTGCATTGTACCCAGTCATTGGCTACTCATAGGGCAGCCACTGGTGTGGATGCCATTCTCACACACACAAAGTTGACATTAATAATCATCACCTGCTGAGAACTTATGGCATATGAGTACTGATTCAAGTGCCTTAGATAGATGAATTCACTTAATCTTCACAATAACTCCACAAGGGAGATATTATTAATATACCCTTTCCAGATGAGGAAACTGAGGTGCACAGAGATTAGATAAATAGCCTGAGGTCCTGCATTTGGTAAGTGGGAGAGCTGAGATTTAAAAGCAGGCAGTCTCACCCAAGCCCATGCTCAGAAACTTAAATCACGATGCAGTGATGCCACATTAAAATCAAACCAGGTGTTTGTTGTCAGGGGTCACAGTCTCAAAAGTGTCAAATGTTATGTTCCCAAATTTGCTGGAACTAAAAAATACTCCAGTTCAGGCAATTCGAATAAAGAAGATTAGTCAGAAATGGATAAAAAGCACAAAAAATAACAGCCATGCCTTGACAGTCTACCAAAGAAAACACTAAAACAGGTATTATGTGCAGTTATATTTTGCAGACTATCAGTTTATTAGTTTATTAATAGAACATATTGGTTTATTAACAGGAAATATAACCACTGTGTCACTTATTAAGAGGCGTACAGTTGGTAATAAAATTAGTAAGTCCATATTTTAAGGATTTCTGGTGAACATGGGAAGAATGGGCCCTAAGAGTCCAAGTGCACACATTTTTCTAATTTTCCACTTCCATTTTCATTTTAACTCTTTCACAGTTGCTGAGCATATCCTCAGTGAATATGGGCAAAGAGAACAGAATGAGTGTCTGTCCTCTCCTGTCAGGAAGAGGAGACGTAGCTAGTCCAGAAGGGAGAAACGCATACTTAAATAAAACCAGGCACAATGTGGTATAAGATGCCTTAGATGAGGCATAAATCTTGGTTCCCGGGAGCCCTTCTCAGAGTGTGACCACCCCACACCACTCTGGTTTGAAACACATCTATGATTTGTCAGATACTTCCCTAAACACAAGCCAAAGTACTTCACCCAGCTCTCAACAAAATGATCTATTCCAAGCTTATGGGAGGATCAATGCTTCAGACCTCTGGAGATATATGTTGGACTCAACCAGAGCCTTCTTAAGCGATGTCCAAGGGTCATTTTAGCTAAATACTTTTTTCATAATGTGCTCATTTTAGAACTTAAATCTTGTAAAACATGAACTATTACTGTGCTTACAACAGCAAAAACGAAGACTTACTCAGCACAGTCACACTGTCATTCTAGCGAAGGACTGGACGTCTTTCACAGTAAAAGGAACATAGGGCTTCCCTGGTGGCACAGTGGTTGGGAGTCGGCCTGCCGATGCAGGGGACACGGGTTCATGCCCCGGTCCGGGAAGATCCCACATGCCATGGAGTGGCTGGGCCCGTGAGCCATGGCCGCTGGGCCTGCGCGTCTGGAGCCTGTGCTCCGCAACGGGAGAGGCTGCAGTGGTGAGAGGCCCGCGTACCGCAAAAAAGAAAAGAAAAAAAAAAAAAAGAACATAAAAAGAAAATATAAAAGCTTTAATGAAAAATAAATGTAGAAAAAGAAGATGAAGTCAGAGGTCAAGTTACTGAAAAAATAGAGACCATCAGGTTCTATAAATGTCTGGGAATGTGTCACAAATTTTATTCTGAGCTTTTTAGATTAGGAAAACAGGGTTAAATCAATACCACCTCCATTCTCTTTGCAAAACTTAGTGACAAAATCCAGTGGATACTGAAGCTGGAAGCTGGTAGGTAACTGTGTATGCTTATGCATGTCCATTTGAAACCCTTCAATTTGTATGCTCTTAGCATCAGTTTTCTTCCAAAGCTGTCTATGCAAGTACCATTTCTTATTAGAATTATAAAATCTAGTAAATAATACTAAGCAAAGGAAAAGTTAAAAGGATTGAGTGTTTTCCATAAAAACTAAGTTGAATCCTTTGGAAAGACCAGATAAAGGAGGCGAGGGGCTGCCAGAATTTACTGCCATCAAGTTAGGTGTGATGGGAGAACTGTAAAAGCTTTCAAACAAAGTCTTGAGAGTCCAGACCAAATCTGCCCACAGGTGGCTGCCTAGGTTCTGAGCACGTTTTCCATTGAAAAAAACCTGAGCTGGAAAGGACAGATGATTCCTGAAGAGTATAGTTTATGTAAGAACCATAGACGCCCTCAGAGCATCAGAACTCTGCTCAAGAAAAGCCTCATTTGCTCTTGGAGATCCTCACTTGATGGAAAAAAAAAAAAACCTTTCCATCAAAAGATGGGAAAATTAAAATGCACATAGATGTGTTTTAAGTTAAAATATTTAAGTTACGTATGCATCACATATTTTTCTAGGATTATTTGCTTTAACTTGATCAATCCTCATCCCCTTAGGTAGGTGGGCTTCTAGTGCATATGTGGGTATGAATGCGTGTATATGTGCATGTGTGTATGCATGCATGTGTGGATATGTGCATTTGTGTGTGTACATGTGTTTGTGTGGTGTGTATGTATGTGCATGTGTGGGTGTGCATGTGTGGGTGTATGTGTGCATGTGTGTGCACAACCACATGTAATTTAAACTTCTAACCCCCCATTTGTCATTTACTGCTCTTAAAATCCTCCTAGTCAGAGGGCAATGCAGAACTGTGGGCTGACTTAGGCTCATGACAAAGGTACATTTATTTTTAATTCCAAGAGCGAGTGGGCTCTTGCATGTAACCTGTAGGTGTGAGAGTAGGTATGAGAAGGCATGGCCCACAGTGCCCACGCTAATCAATGCCAGGAAGATCTGGTCCATGTGGGGCAAATGTCTACCCAGGAGAGGCACAGACTATCAATTTTAGAGCTTACAGCTTGTGGTTCTGTAGACTTTTTTTAAAATAAAAATTCCCTTCGTATTTATCTCCATCTTCCTCTAGGTAGTACCCAGGGTTTAATCCGCTCTGGCTTATAGCAAATTTTAAATTTAAAACAGGCATGTTGTTGGCTCAAACCTAATTTGCATTATCTATTCCTATTTATTTTTCCTCTATTTTTCTTTCCCAAATGATAATTTATGCCTTACCTTTGGAGAGCAGTAGAATTTTGATTCCAGCTCCTAATGTGGCTCACAGGAGGCTCTTATCAAAATGAATGTCAGGTTTGCATTTCTTGTTAGCAAACCAAAAACATCTCCTAATGTGAGCAAGAAAGATAAAACTAAGAGGCACTCAGATGTGTTAATATAAAGATATTTTTGATCTTTAAATTCTTGCTCTTTGTAAGGCATAAAAATTTGCTTCCATGGGCAGAACACCTGGCATCAGAACCAAACTTCTAAACTAAATTTTGTCACTGACTTTCAAAAATTATAAAGAAATGACTAAGTATCTGTGCGATTCAGAGAAACAGCTAAGTAAGGGTTTGGCAGTACAACACACATCTTATTTTCGTACCCATGAATATAAGCTTAATTCCTAGAGGTAATTAATTACTCCTGGCCAAGAGGGAAAAACCTCCTTTGTTTAAATACTTCATGGGGAAAGCAAGCTGTAAGCAACACCAACATCATTCATTAAATCTGCCACAAATTATAATTGTAGTAGTAGCGGTTGTTGTTAATATTTTACCAACTCTTTAACATTTGCAATGTGTTTTTCATGTCTCTGATTCTCATAAACCCAAATTAAAGCTTATTTGAAAAGAATCCACATTTTTGCAATTTAGGGACCAGAATGTTCTCGTGACTAGCCAGCTTGTCACCTTTGCACATTAAAAAAAAACCAAAAAAACAACCACTTCCTATTTATAAAGCTTCAGGCATAATCCAATTCTTGGCAACTAGGATATTCTCTTTTGCTGATCACAGCAGAGAAACAGTCCTAATCCGACAAGATGGAATACTCACAAGGGAAAGAAAATATGTGCAAACTAAATGTAAATATCTGAATATCGCCCCTAAAGGGAGCACGCAAGGAGGAAAGCAATTTAGCAGGAGTGAGATTGCTTTCCAGCTCTCAATTATTTTACTGCTGGTTTCTCCCCCAAATTGTAAATCAAATTCTTTTCTCCTGCCTCAGTGCTCTGGTCCCTGCATCTTAAGTGGAGGAAGATCCTGACATTTCTATTTGGTTGCACAGGAACTTAATCGACACATTTCTGTAGGGTTGCTGTTTCCCACCTTAAATTATGTTTCAGCAATGATTTAGCCATTTAAACAGAATGTTGTTGCCACACCCCTGCTGCATAAACAGCATTTGGTATTTAAAAGTTGCTTAAACCCAAGGAAAAGAAAAAAACAACTCTCTCATTCTGGCCAAGTACAGTAATTTGGTAACAGATAACTGACCAGATGTCACCAGAGCCTTTTATTAAAATAAAATTGTCATGTCTGTAAAATGATATTTCTTCTTAAAAATGTGTAACTTATTTAATGTTAAACAACACATTTTTTTTCAATATACAAAGTGTTTCTCAAACTCTCTGTAAGGAAGTTTATTTTTTCCAGTCCATTACATACTTTTGTGAAATACAATAAAAGTGAATAACTAAATGAAAATTAATTACTAAATTAAAATGAAATAAAAAAGACATAAAAACAAGGTCCTACTGTATGGCACAGGAACTATATTCAATATCCTGTGATAAACCATAATGGAAAAGAATATGTGTGTGTGTGTGTGTGTGTGTATAACTGAGTCACTCTGCTGTATAGCAGAAATTTAAAAAACATTGTAAATCAACTATACTTCAATAAAATTAATTTAAAAAAATTTTTAAAAAGAAAGTAAGAAGATAAAAGGAAGACATAATAAGTACAAGCTAAATTAGTGTGGTTTTTTTTTTAATCAACAGTAAACTTACTGTTGTTATAAAAGCTTCTAAACAGTAACTCTGGGTTCCCATGTTTTTCATATGGCAGACACCCAGTTCATGGATCTGCAGG